TGTTAATTTTTACCATTTTTGTAAAACAGTTACGTATCGTTCGATTTTTGGGTTATAAATCGTTTGCGCGTTGCCGTATAAAAAGTTGTACATCATTTGCGTATCAATTATTATTCGACATTAAAAATAAAAAAAAGGTATACACCTCAAGCGCAAGTTGCTTTATAGCTATCGCGTTAAAATTTTCTCATATCTAAATTAACTCACGTAATATTAATTTTTCAAATATTGCATATGTTTAATGTGATATACAATATATCAATTAAAAATGTAGTTTTGTAACATACATTTTCAAGTTTTAGATGAATTTTGTCAAAAATTGAACTTTAAATATTTATGTATATTAATTATTTTTAAGTTTACCGATGCGATTTATTGAAGAGAGTGATGAACCACATATATTTTCTGACATTAAAGAATAYACAGTTTTATTCTATGAGATGATGTAACATTCGCTTAATTAACAAAATGTTATTGAACATTTATGAATAATTTAAAGATTCATCATTGGGAAATAAATTTCACATAATAAATAAAGATATAATTACATTTTATGCATCTGACTTTGATACTGATAAATTACAATTACACAATATATTTTTGGATGAAGCAAAATCGAGGAAAACGCTAATAAAAAATGTAATTTATGATGTCTTGAAGCTAATAAAGAACGATGATGCACTCGTGCACATATTGGATGACATACCTACCGGAGTTAAACAAAATACTATGTATGTTAGTTATACCAGTGTCATCGTGTACATCAGTAAGATATTTTTCTGCCTTTTGCAGACTTAAGATATACATAAGGAGTACTATGAGTCAAACACGGTTAAATAATATTTCCATTCTTCATGTTCATGTTGATGAAGAAATAAATTTAGAAACTGTTGAAAACTAATTCATTAATAATTCCAAAGTGCGGAAAAATACATTTTCTATACAAAACATTGTAACTTAAAAAATAAAATTCACATTTTTTAATTGTTATCTTGTGGTTTTTTATGATTTAAATTTAAATTGCTAATACTATTAAAATGTTATAACATATAAAACAACAAATTGTTTTAGTAATTGTTTAACATTCAATTTAAAGAAAATTATATTATTTAGGTAAAATTARCTGTACCTACATGTCTTTACAAAATCGTGAGTCTCCCATGACATTTTCAAAACCTGGCACCTTTGTTTACAGACTCTCCAATAGATGATTACTATCTCTGATACTTATGGGATTTCTGCAGCTCCCTTTCAGGAAATCCATACCATTCGAGAACTCATAAATACCGATGAATTGTCATATCCATTAACAGTAGTACTATAAAACAAAAAATGCATGAATAGCATATTTACTGATGCGTATTATGAGGAAGACGTGTTAAATTGTCAAGCGGAACTCATCGAGTTTAGCGGGACAATTAGAATTCGGAAAGTAAGAAAGTAACAATATTCGAGTATTGCAATATRTTCCAGAAGTTGCTGCTGCAGTATGTCCGTCGGCCCCACGTCTTAATCAGTCACAATGAAAAACCCGATTTGAAAGTTTTTAGATTGAAATTGAAGATATCAACTAAATATACTTTCACATCGTGCTCTTATTACTTTATTACTTTACTCTTATTCTTATTACTCTTACTCTTATCCAGACATTGTTTGAAATATGGAATACTCGATCCTATATAGGCTTGCCCTATCCGATTACTTTTTGGACCAAACATTTTATGCAACCCTTAAAATTACCAAACTAAATCAGTATTATCCATTATCTTTTGATCTCGATATTTTATGGAAGAGACATATTAGTTTGTCTCCAGTCCATCAAGGTTATTCCTTATAGTGTATAACACAAGATTTTGCAACAACTATATATAATATATAACTACAACTAAAGTCTAAAACTAAGTACACSTTCATGCATTCTTCAATAGCTCAGAGAAAGGTTATGCAGCAGCCATATAACTTCGAGTAAAAAATCACAAGTAAGTTCATAATTAGCTCATAACTATATAGGTAAGTCAAAG